AACAACAAAAAAGCCCAGGACCAGATGTATTTATAGGCAAAATTCTACCAGACCTCCAAGGAGAATTGGAACCCATCCTACTGAAACTGTTACATAACATCAAAAAGAAGGGAATCTTCCCTAACTCATTCTTTGACACCAGTGACACCCTGAAAACAAAGCCAGGAAAGGACACACACACAAAAAGTATACTACAGACCAATATCTTTGATGAATATAGATGCAAAAATCCTCAACAAAATACAACAGAATCTAAAAGTACATCAAAAAGATAATTCACTATGATCACATGGGTTTCACCCCAGTGAAGCAAGGGTTATTCAACATATGCAAGTCAATTTTTGTGACTCACCACATAAAGAGAATTAAAACCAAAATTCATATAAAAATCTCAATAAATACATAAATGCATTGAAAAAATCTATCGTCACTTCGTGAAAAAAACACTCAACCAACGAGGCATAAAAGGAACATACCTCAAAATAATAAAAGCCACATATGACAAACCCACAGCCAACATCATTCTGAATGGGGAAAAGCTGAAAGCTTTCCCCCTAAGAACTGGAACAAGACAAGGATGCCCACTTTTGACACTTCTATTCAACAGACTACTGTAAGTCCTAGTCAGAGCCATCAAGCAAGAGAAAGGAAAAAAGGGAACCCATGTTGGGAAAAAGGAAGTCAAACTATCCTGGTTCACTAACGATATGATCTCATACCTAGAGGATCCTGGACTCCTCCAAAAGACTCCTAGAATTGATAACTAAATTCGGTAAAGTTTCAGGTTACAAAATCATCATACACCAATCCCTAGAAATTTTATACACCAATAACAACCAAGCTGGGAATCAAATCAAGAATTCGATCCCATTTACAATAGCTACAAAAAAAGTTGAAATACCCTGGAATATACTGAATCAAGGAGGTGAAAGATCTGTATGAGGAGAACTACAAAACAGTGATGAAAGAAATTATAGATGACAGAAAAAAATGCTAAAGCATCCCATACTCATGGACTGGAAGAATCAATACTGTTAAAATGTTCATACTTCTCAAAGTAATCTACAGATTCAATGTGATTGATATTAAAATAC